ATTAATGATGAAGAATGCGAGTCTTTGCTTCCTGATGACAACGTTGACGGGCGGGGTCTTTTTGACAAGCTAAGACGCAAATATGGCAGCAGGGCCCGCGAGGCCTGGCGTTCCTTAAAGGATAAGTGGCAATCAAGGAACCCAGGGCGACCTATTCCAGAATATTTGGAATTGCAAAACTTGGATTCCACGGACCTAAGAACTGAAATGCTAAGGGGGCTTTTAGACGACGTAAGGGAGAAATTTCCAAATGTGGACTTGACCCGCCTTAATTTCCAAACCGGAGATAAGGGGCAAATTCAAATCCAGTATCAAGGAAGGGATAAGTGGTATGATCTCTACCAAAGGAGAGACTCCGACAGGCTCACCAGTAATCTCCCAAAAGAAATCAAAAACGCATTAGGAAGACCTAATTTGATGGAAAGACTAAGAGAAAACGATGAAAACACCAACGAAGCCTTTGAAAAGTTCAAGACCCTAATGCAGCGGCAACAAAAGGGCGCTGAGGCGATGAGGGAAGTCGAAGGATTAAAGGAAACAATGGAGGAAAGGGAGGCAGAATACATGCGACAAAACCTACTGCTCCTCGATGCCCATAAAAGAGAACTTAACGACAAAAACCAAAGAATCATAGAAATGGGAGAACGAGTAAACAAAGTGCAAAGGGAGTTGGAGGAGGCTAAAAAATCACATACGCCAACGGTGGCGTTAGAAAAAACGCTAAAGGAAAAGGAGAAGCAATTGCAGCGACTGCGTCAAAGTAAAAACGAAGGCATATTAACATTTAAACGAGAAGCTGAAAAGGCTTTAGACGAAAGGGATACAGCTCGACAGGCATTCAGGCTTGCCCGGCAAGACCTCAATGTAAGTCAGGAGGAAGCTAGGAACTTACAAACCACCATAGAGGGTTCTTTGGTGGAGCGGCGGCAGTTGGTTGCTGAAATCAACATTAAAGAAGAGCAAATCCAGCAAAGAACTCAAGCTATTGAAGACCTGGAAAAAAACGTATCCGAAAAGCAGGAAATAATTGCGGACCTAACTCGTCCCGAAGAAGAAAGGGAAGCAGCTCAAAAGGAAGTGGAGGCCCTTGAGGTACGCCTTGCGGAATTACAGGCGCAAAAGGAAAACCTGGAAAGGAGCTGGGGCTTACCACCAAGGAAAAAGTATTAAGAGGTCTTTTAAAGTATGGCGTGCCGCTAGCATTCGCAATTGCCATTTCCAGCGTGGTAGGCGTAATCCTTAGCACACTTAATGCTGCAGGTAAAGGAGTAAAAAAATTAGGCAATGGGCTAACGGACTTGGGTAAAAAAATGGCAGCAAGCATTCCGGGCTTGCTTGGTAGCGTTTTAAGCCTGGTATTAAGAACCGGCGGAGAACTGCTAAAGTTCGTGGGGAATAACATTTGGATATTAGTCGTCGCTATTGGGGTGGTACTCCTGAAGAAGATGAAGGGTTAATCTTATCCTTGTGCGTTGCTGGTGGCTTATCGTCGTCAGACGCACGAGGCGTCCTCGACTGGGGATAAGTAAAGATAGTATTCGCACCGCCTTGATAATTTGGTATCAAGGGTATGGCAGTCATGGTACTAATAGTCTTGTGATTCCAAACATTATTCTTATGAGATTCTGTCCCAGCATTAACAGTATTTATCCAAACTCTAATATTAAGTAAACAACTACTATTAACATTAATTTGAAGCTTTGCATATTGACAATTAGCTATCATATGAAAAGTAATCGGTAAAAGATCTTCATTACTCCTGTGTGGCTCGAACGAGAAATGAGCTGGTTCCCTATTATTATCCTTATTCCTTAAGGGTAGTAATGGGATATTATCTTCGTCAACAATCCTAAAAGCGATACCATATTCATCAAACGTCCCAATGCTGATAGTGCACATTAATAACCCTAAGCCTCCAACCTTCACCCATAACCCAGTGTCCTTCCAACTAAAATCATCATCGAACTTTTTTTCCTCTAAGTAATGCAAGAACCAATCTTCCTTTACATGTGGGTTCATATATACCAGGAAATAAATTCCCTTCTAAAGACTCATCACCATTAAAGTGCTAATGGTTGCATTGTTATAGACTTCGTCCCTTTGATTCTCTATGCTATTTATACAAACACTCCCGGTGTCATCTACGCGTATCTGCAGCTTTACCTTCCCATGACAATCGGTAACCATGTGAAAAGTCCAAACCGATAGATTTTCGGCGCTGCTGGGGTT